AGAAGGGACCCACCTTAGTTGATATTTCCATCAGCGGGGCGCTAGAAGACTCAGCCGTCATGGAGGGGATTATCGCATCTATACAGGTCCGTTGATGGTTTTTGGATACTCTGGCGCTTGTTCGTTCAAAATATACAGCCCTTTTATCTTCGCGCTGCTTGAGGCGTGACGGTTCTTGTTGTGCTGCAGAACGAGGGCGCTCCAGCCCGATTCCGGTGCCTTGCACCTCCATCTGCCGAGTCCGTCAGCAAGACAGAGAAAAAAGCAGCTTCTTTGCGGAGCTTGTCGTCTCAGCAATCAGCAGCGCGCGCCTAAGGGTTTTGGCGTTACGGCTTAGTTGCGCAAGTGGCTGTATAGAGGAGTTCTTGTTCAGATGCGTGTTTCCACCGCTATTCATAGTTCTCTTTCGCAGGGAGGTTGTATACACGTACAATACCTTTTTTCGTTTTCTATCAGTGCATGAACGGGATTTCACAAGCCGTTGCTTTGGCGTTGTGTTTGTAAAGGCCGCCAGACCGCGGCATCGTATCACAGCGGGGGCCTGCTAACTAGAAGTTTGTGAGGAGGGGTTTCGATCACGCTGGATTCAACTGGATATATTTTACCCGAATGCCCCAGGCAAAAGTTTTCTCCATAATTCCATAATTTGTTTTGAGGCATTTCGAGATGCAAACTTCCTACAAAGGCTCTGACAGGCAGCACAACGCGCAGTACTCTTATTTTTCCTTCTGTTCATCACTCTTATTTTCATTCCCTGATATGCGCTATCCTAATCGTTGATATGTTGAAATCCTTCGAGCTCCATTGCAAAGAGCGGGAACAGAACAGCTGATAGCATCATATTCACGTGCAAGCAACGAGCAGAACAGGCCCCACCAGTTGGCCTTCTCCCCCAAACATCACCAGTGTGTAACTGGTCATATATTAAGCTGGAAGGTTTCTGAGCTACAGTCTACGGCTCATCATCCAACTCAATGCATTTCGTTTATCAGGTGTACAGTCTGCCGATGCAAATACACGCAGGAATGCAACACCGCACGAGTTGAGCACGCAAGCTGCTTTTAGCTTTCATCTGATCTCAAAACATCCACTAAGATACAAGAAGATACAAGAGTGATCTACGCCGCTGCTGAAACCCCCTCAACTACATTCTGAGGCCAAACAACCAGATGGTTAATTTCAGATGC